CCATCAAGAATGTGTTTATGGGCACAATATTGACGAAAGCACAAGAAAATGAAGTTGATGTATAATTAAGCCCAAGTAGGACGAGATATAGCGTTAGTGTTCCCCTGTCAAAACAAACCTTTTTGTTACAATATATTAAAATACCTAAGGAAATATTAAAATATTTCATAGAAAATTACTTCCAATGAAATTTAATGTATTTATTACAAGGTGAAATTCTTTCCTCTTTTTTTCTTTTTTTTTTTTCAAAAAAAAAAAAAAAAAAGTATGTAGAAGGTAACTCACCCCATGAGTCCACTGAAAAATAGAGCACAGACTGTGAAAGCTGACAGCTTTTTGTAGCTTCTCCTACAATGGAATTGAAGTGAAAATTAAACATTTTTGAATTGTTAAAAACAGTTGAAGGGTCTGTTTGGAAAGAAGAAAAACGACTTCAGAAAAATGTTTTTTAAGTTTTCAGTGTTTGGATGCAATATGAAAATTCAGTCAATGGAAAACATTTTTCAATGAGTTATACAATTTTACTCATTTTTCAAAAAATAAACCGAACACACCAAGTTTTCCAAAATGCAATCAAACACTGAAAAAGAAAATATTTTCTGTAAAATGAATCATTAAAAAAAAAAAAACATTTTCGAGAAGTCATTTTTCAACTTTTCAAACGACCAATGAAGATCAGGTGGTTCAATATATATAATTGACTAATAATATATATACCTTTCCATGCAACAAGCAATGGGTGCCAAGAAGATTGCAGAGATTGCTTGCCTATATGTGGCCAAAACTAACTGGTTCATTCCTCTGTTAAGAACCATCTTGAAAAGTATGTTTACAACAGCCAAACAAAAGTTAACACCAATCATGGCAGCCCCTGGCTTCCAACTACTAAGCCCACAATTCATCTTCTTTTAATATAATGATGAACTTTAGCTAGCAAGCTCTCTGAATTGCTTGTTAATATGAAATGAATTGAAGCTATGCGTTATTATTGTTTATATATTTATAGGTTCTCGCACATGGGAATCTAGGCATATTTGGCATGTAGCTAGTATAGGAATTTTTATGCTACATATTCGAGATAACATCCAATATAGTCGGTTTTACTCAATTCAGTTCTCGATTTTGATAATTTTATACAATTTAGTTTTTGAATGTGAAAAAGATAACAGAAGTTATAATGGTAGGGATATTTTTGTTCAAAAAATTGTGTAATACAATTTTAATAGCATAATGTAAAAAAAAAAAAAAAAAAAAAAAAAAAAAAAAAAAAAAAAAAAAACGGACATAAACGGGGGGAGGGGGGGTGGGGGGTCTAACTGGATTGAGACTTATTATGTTTTTAGATTAGATTAATAATTAAAGTTTCATATTTAAAAGAAAGACTAAATTTATAACCGTACCCGATAATAACATTGTGCAAAAGCACTCAAAGCATGACAATAAAGATGGTTTGTAGAATATACCAACTGGTTAGTGAGGCGTTGCTTTCATTCTAAATCACTTAAAAAGTTATTTTTTATTCATAGATATATATATAACAAAGAATTAGAATATTTTTCTCTTCATTTTTTATTGAAACATTCCTCTTGTTTTCTATTCCTTTCTAATAGAATCGTTCTTTTCTTATTTGGGAATGTCTAATTAAAATAAATTTATAAATAATCTTTTTTAGTATCTTCTGGTGCCACGTTCTATTTTTAATTTAGTAAAGTAGGTTTAAACTTAACTCCTTGAAGTATTACCCGATGGATATAACAAAATTGAATTGTATATGTGATCTTAATTAACCGATTGATGAAACCCGTGATTAAAAAATGGGGTATCCGCGACTATTCCAGTTTAAGAACAGTAGAGGATACCTTTTATTTAAAAAAGAAATCTGCGACTACTCTTATCTAAGAACAGTCGCGGATGACTCAACTTTATGCGACTATTCCATAACAGTCGCGAAAAATCCAAAGCTTCCCGCGATCCTAGTATCCGCGACTATTGTACAACAGTTGCGAAAAGTCATTTACAACTGTAGCAAATTAGTTGGTCTATACTAGCACGTTTTAATGAGAATACTTTTTGTTTTTTATTTGGACCGTTAAAATAGTGTCATATGATATATTGTAAAATTTTCACAACCATCATTTTATGACCTTAGAAAATTGGTTCATAATCTTCATACTTTAATTTCTTGCTTTTCCATCTTTCGCCTAAGGAGATATATACCATTCTGACCTCAATCAAATTAAATGATTTTTTTCACAGACAAGCTAGCCTTTCTTCACCCACAAATAAGAAAGCAAAGCATATTTAGAAAGCAGATGTAAATATGACTTATCACTATTTTGGCAAGGCATCGAATACTCTGCATTATGCAAATAAATATGTTTAATCTTTTCTTAAAAAAAATACATTTTAGGGAATTAAGGAAAAAAAAAAAAAAACTAGGCAAAAGGAGGCCAAGTAACACAAACAAAATCAGCAAACAGCTGTTGCGACAAAAAATTGTGTAGTGATACTTAAATTTGATTGATTCCCCCGCGCGACAAAGCATGAAAGAAGTGGATCGGATACCAATTAAATGTTTTTTTGTCAGGTTGGGATTTGAACTCGAGGCCTACTCTAATATCAATTGTCAAGATTAAGCGCTTAATCAAAGCTATACTAACGATGTGCAATTTAATTTTATTATACTTGCGTAGTAATTAGTGCCACGTTTCGATGACAGAATACTAGAGTCACCTCACCAAGCCACCACCCAACAGTTTTTATTTGCGAAATAATAAAAATTGGAAGGACATGAATGCATTCCATGAGAAATAAAAATTTGGAGAAAGGTAAACTAAAGCTAGTTGTAGAATTTTGGATTTAGCTTAGTTGTAAGTATCGGTTTCAGACAAATCGAGATGATTTTTTTTATCGGATTAAAATATTATGGAGCTAAACACTAAAAATTTTTAATTTTATTGAACTAATTCGTCGAATTTGGGCTAATATTGACATCTCTATTTCTCTAGTTCTCTAGTTATAAGTTTCATTCCTTTTTTAAATAATAAATCACTTGAATCTTATTTATTTCTGCATCTTAAAAAATAGGATGAAAATAATGCCACTAGAAACATAAGGCAAGGGTTACTCCACACCCCCAAACATTTTTATTTTTAAATTATAAATAAATACGCATGTGTGTATACTATTACGGAATAATATATAATAACCTCACATTCTCTTAAACTTTTTATATACCAAATAATAAAAATAAAAAATAAAAAAGAAGCATTTCTCACTGGCAGTCAATATGTTGAAAAGAAAGAATAAAACATGATCAAATATATATCCATCTTTTTAGGAGCTGAGATCGTGTCGGTCCATAAATGGAAGAGAGAGAAGAACAATATGTCTAATCTTTAAACATAAAGGTAATAGGAGTTGCTGAAATTAGATAAGAATTTTTATTTTTTTAAAAACAAACTCTTAGCTCCTGTACTTTAGTTCAAAATGTGTTAAGCTTTTGTACATAAATATTTAATGGCACATATTCCATTTGTTTTGCATGAGCATATAGGCATGCTCTGATTTTTTTTTTTTTTTAATGTTACTGGCTCTATTACATTGTAGTATCTGTTCATATACTTTTTCAACCTATTGAAACACAAAAAATCAATAACACCTCTATTAAGGCTCGAACTTACAACCTTTCCAAATGGAAGTCCAACCTGAGTACCATTAGACCACATAATCCTGGTATATAAGCATGCATAATAGTAGAAATAGAATCTATGTAATTAATTTTATGTTGGACAAATATTTTAGGAATTTTATTCCCAAAAAAAAATCAAAGAAAATTATAAAGGGACAATTTTGCCAATCAATACATGTATTATACATGTAAAACACAAAAATTTATCTGACCTTAATAGCGAAAGCATATGATCGAGCATCTCCCTTCATAGTTGTAATCTCTGTTGCATTGTTTGAAAAACGGTAAAGAATTGAGTTTTGTCTACCACTTAATCTCTTGAGAAACTAGATTATGTAATTGTGAGACTGTAACAGGAGCAGTGGGAGGACCATGCTTAAATAGCCTACGTGCCATCATTATAGGCTCCGTAACGGAAACCATTACGTCTTTTTCAGACCACAAACATAATGGTCATAAATGACCTATTAACTTCCCCAATTTTGCCCCCTACCCCCAAACGTAGCTCCGCCCCTGGCTACACGTGTTTCTTAACAATTAAATTAGCATTGATTTTGTTGATTTATTAGATTTAAATCACGAGATGTATTCATTGTTCTAATCTTTATTTATTTGATCATGAGATTGATTTTTTACTAGGATTCCTTCGTGCATTCTCTTCAAGTCTCTTATTTGGTGCTCTGATCTTCTCACAATCCTATAATTTAATTGTATCTATAAGATAATGATCTATTACTTAAGTCCTTGTCTTCCTTAGTTGCGTTTATCTCGTGATCGATATTTCTTCTTACTCGTTATTTCATACTCCGTACTTAACAATAGCCGGAATTCAACTTGTAATGGATTGCTTATATTCTTGCATTGCGCGCTTCTCTTCTAATTTGGTGTCTAGTTTCTTTGTTATTGCATATTGTGTGCCATGCCACCCGATCTTCTATAGAACGACATTTTTCACACCCGCACTCAGTATACTCTATACTTTACATTATTACCTCGAACAATTAGAGTTATTATAAAATAGTATAGTTTTACATTTTTAAAGTTGTGCGCAAGATTATATGGATGTAGTTCTCAATGTATGGTGTTCCCTTAATTAGAGTATGCTAAGCTAGTAGTACAATAATATAATGTTGGTATTTATTTTAATAAAGAATTTCTACAGTACATATATGACATACATTACAGTGTGACATATATTTTAGTAATAGTATAAAATATAGTAAATACAATTTTCCTAATTACATACAATCCACAAAATCAATAATAATGTTTATTTAATTTATTGATTTTTTCCTTCAAGTTTTCCCTTTGGCCTGGTGACCACTTAGCTAGGTACGAGGTGGAGTATTAGAAACAGGTAATACAGTTTGTTCATCCTTGTCTGTCGTTGGTGCAGTCTTGCAAACTTGAGCTTCTTTGCTTTTACCCCAAAGAAGAGCATATAGCCCAACAACAACCAAAATGGACCCTAAAATGCTATTCAAATAATATTTATTTAACAAAAAAAAAAATGTTAACAATATATTGAAAGTCCAACTCTATTAAGAAATAGCAAAAGTTGTAATTTAAAATAACTTTTTTTTTCAACACATATGCCATTACATTGGTAATACTCTAGTTAATTTTTTATTATTTTTTTAAATCTTGTATTTGTTAAACCTATATGTGGCTGACATTTTCTATATTCAGTTATTTGTTTTAAATGTATTCCTGTAGATTAGCCTTTGTTGTAACTTCATGCTACTTCTCCTCTTTTGTACACTATTTATAGTCCGCTGATTATTTATTAATAAACAACACAGTTACTTCATATCCTTACATGGTATCAGACCTGAATCTCCTACAAGAATATGTGAATTTGTACGTAAACGCACATAAGCGTCTACATAAATGCATAAATTCTCATATTCCAGTGCATAATGCACACAGCCTACCCCTGGAATAGTTTGTGTGTATTTTTGGCTCTATTACAATGTATTATCTGTTCATATACTTTCTCGACTTACTAAACACAAAGAACCAATAACGTCAGGGTCCAACCCAAGTACCATTAGACCACATAATCTTGGTGTTTGTGTGTATTTATATATATATATATATATATATATATATATATATATATATATATATATATATATATGTGTGTGTGTGTGTGTGTGTGTGTGTGTGTGTGTGTGTGTGCGCTCTTTGGATTTTAAGAATTATTTTACCTATTTTTTATTATATATTCTTTAATATATTTCAATGTGACTATTATTTTATTGTTGAGCAAATGAATTGAACATCTATTTTCGCGTAACGTTAACGTTTATGCTGTGACTGGTTTTATATTTATAAACAGTGAAAACGTTTTTATATTTTCGAATTCATATGGCACATTGATATTGTAGATAAAGAAAATTAAACTAAATTAAATAATCAGCAAATAATGTTGGTTATATATATTACCTTCCAAGGTAAATTGTTTCATGGAGTATGGGGACTCCCAGCACAATAGAAAAAATCTGAACTAAGGGAGTAAATGTTGAAGTGAAAACAGGTCCTCTTTGTTTCACACACCAAGACATCACAGCATAACATATGCCAGATCCCACAATTCCCTGCGATATATAATGGCAATAGTCAAAGGCCCTGATTGGTAAAATAGTTAGCATATCAGATAATTTTGGTTTATTTGACCACTATTAGTTGTTTGACTTGGTTAAACAATTAATATGAGTGTTTGATTAATTAGCTTTTTGTAATAACCGAATTTGTTAAGGATATATAGTAATAGAGAAAATTGTATTATATCCCTACATAATATGTCAATCATTAATGTCACTCCTGAATTATTAATAGTGTAAATGTTGTCCCTTAGTTTTCAAAATGGTACATATATTGCCCTCCCGTATCGTACGGGCATGGTTGCAATAGGCGCTAGGCGTTAGTCGGGCGCCTAGGCGGCGCTAGGCAGGCACCAAAAAATAGTGGCGGACTTGCAGTTTGACAATTTTAATGAGGCTGTTTTCAACATTTAATCAAATCACACATCCAAATAAATGAAATATTGATAATTTATAAGTCATAACATCAAAACAATATTAAAAAATAAAAACACTCAAATATGAAATAATCAAATACTTTAATCAACCAAAGATTCAAAGTATCAAACTAATCTATGGACGGCTGGACCAGACGACATCGGACAAAATTGGTCAAAATCGGACGAAATCGACCGACCCGGCCGAGTTGGCCGACTAGGCCAATTTAGCCGCCTAGCTAGCCGGCCGATTTTGGGGCGCCTAACAGTGAAAGCGGAACGGCCTAGGGGCGCCTAGTGCCTAGGCCGATTTTTACAACACTGCGTACGGGAGGATAATTGAGGGTAACATTTACACTACGTGAGGAGCAATATATATATCGCTTTGAAAATTGAGGGACAACATTTACACCACTAATAATTTAATAGTGACATTGATAATTTGTATATTATGGAGGGGCATAAATTATAAATTTCCCTATAGTAATATAACTTGATACTCACAGAGAATATGATAGTCCCTATTTCCAAAGCTCCTTTCAATCTCCAAATAGATGTGTTTCTTTCAATGATAAAGCATAAGGCTGCTGACTGAATGGCACCAAAGAAGGACATGAGTGTTGTGCTAGAATATTTATATGGATAATTCGACCCGACCCGACCTTGTATGATGAACCAAGAAGACCATGACAAGCCTCCTGCATAGACCAATAATGAACCAACAACCCAATTCTTTGTGTTATGGTGAGCTTCAACTCCTTGTGATGAGGCATTATTATTTATCAATGGCTTCCCTTTGTAGAGTATTAGTACTATGGTTCCCATGAGACATATTAGTGTACCTAACACCTTAGCTTTCCCACTCTTGCATTTCATGTTTACCCTCTCTTGCCTGCAAGAATTTCCCATGATTGTTCCGTTGAATATTATCGCAATTTATAAACACAAGTGCGTGCAATTTGCCCAATATAAGTGCACACATATATAGTAGACTGTGTCATTCGTGTTGTGTCTCATAGTCTCACGGAAAGATGTTGTCTCACTGGAACATTAGCATATATGCCAGCTTAGCATGCACTTAATTACGTTACCTAAATATGAGTGCCATCAAGAATGTGTTTATGGGCACAACATTGGCGAAAGCAGAAACAAATGAAGCTGATGTATACCTAAGTCCAATTAAGATGGGATATTGAGTTAGAGTCCCCCTGCCAAAACAAACCTTTTGTTACAAACATTAAAAATACCTAAATAAACTAGAACTAAGATTTGTAAATATAAATATTAAGAAATATTTCATAGCAATTCACTTTTAGGGTCTGGTTGGAAACCCGGAAAATGATTTTGATTTTCCGGATTTTTGGTGTTTGGCTAGACTGAAAAAGCAACAACATATGAACTAAAATTCCATAATCGATGAACTATAATTCCATAATCTAATCTATGAACTAAAAATTCTAGAATGAATGAACTAAAATTCCATAATCTATAAACTAAAATTTCAGAATCGATGAACTACAATTCCATAATCGATGAACTATAATTCCATAATCAATGAACTATAATTCCATAATCTATGAACTAAAATTCCAGAATGAATGAACAATATAATGTTGTTGCTGGGAATCGAACCTGAATTTTTTTTAAAGGGGAGACGCGCGTTTTTAAATAAAACGACGTCGTTTTGGCATCCGTATGCACCATGCATGGTGCATACGGATGCACAACATAACGATTGCTTGCATTATTAGCACATTCAAATAAGGCCCAATCGTTATGTTGTGGAATCATGTCCACCTTGCCCAGCTTGCAAGGTGGGCATGGTTCCAAATGACGCCGTTTTCATGTGGTTGAGTAATGGCGCCGTTAGTGGCACTGTTATCCTCCATAATTTTTATACTGTAGATTCATAATTTAAATACAGTAATTCATAATTTCTATACAGTAGATTCATAATTTCTATACTGCAGATTCATAGCATCTGTACTGTAGATTCATAATTTCTGTACTGTAGATTCATAGTTTCTAAACTGTATAGTTATCAAATTATGAGCATATAGTTCTGTGATTTGTGAATACAGAGTTCAACAATTGGGAATATGATCATCGAAAATTATGAACATATAGTTCTATCACATGTTCACAAATCTAATATTGTAGATTCATAATTTTTAAACTGTGCGATTGCGAAGAGAGAAAAGCTGTTAACGTCAAGTGAAAAACAAAAACAAAAAATTTAATTAGAACGGCGTCGTTTTCAAGTTGTGGAACTATGCCCACCTTGCAAGGTGGGCATGGTGCCACGGCATAATTTGCCAATAAGGTCCGCACGGGTTTAGCTCACTGGTTCAGTAAACAGTGTTTGTGAGAAGAGACCAAGGTTCGAACCTCGGCCCCGACAGTATTGAGATTATGCCCAATGGACAGATCCCTTGTACACACCGACATTTGGCCCTGTCTGCTAAACCATTGAGCCACCGTTATTTATATCCTCCCAAATGCTTGGAGATTCAACCTTTAGGGAGAAGAAAAACACATACAAATAAGTATGTAGAAGGTAACTCACCCCATTAGTCCACTGAAAAATAGAGCACAGATTGTGAAAGGTGTCAACTCTTTGAAGCTTTTCCTACAATATAATGGAAGTGACAATAATTTTTGTCAAATAATTAAAGTGAGAGACAGATATGATAGGAACCAAATTAATACCAAGAAATTAATGAGGCATATACATATATATATATATATATGCATACCTTTCCATGCAACAGGCTATGGGGGCCAAGAAGATTGCAGATATTAGTTGCCTATATGTGGTTAAAACCAACATATTTGCTCCTCTATTAAGAACCATCTTTAACAGAATGTTTACAACAGCAAAAGTAAAGTTAGCACCAACCATGCCTGCAAATGGCTTCCAACTATTAATGCAATTCATCATCTTCAATCATCAACCTCAGCTGCTCTCATATATATATGATGATCTCTTGAATTGCTTAATTACTATATATATATATATATATATATATATATATATATAGTTTCTTACACTTTGGTAGGCAAGGACATTTGGGGGATACAGCAAAGCAGGAGAATTCAAGCTTGAGAAAGCCTTTATGATATATAATTCAAACCGGTTCTAAAAGATTTTTTTTTTTTTTTTTGGGAAAAGGGAAGGGGGGACCCGGACCTAACACTAGTGTCTATAGGTTTGATTTCTCTGGACAGCCGCTCAAACTCAAGTCTATATCCATGGCAAGATTATCCAGGATGGTAGATGGAGGTCTCTGAAACTCAATCCAATCGCTTCTTTGATTAATTCACTATAAATATTCAAAAATACAACTTACTTAATTGGAAAGAAGCTTAGTTATTATGTATGAGGTTACATGTTTAAATTTTATATTATAAAAATTGTTATATATACAAAACTATAAAATTTAAAAATATATTTTTAAAAAGTGAGTGAGTTCATTGGCGGAGCCACAATGGGGGCAGTGGGGGCAGTTGCCCCCACTGCCCTACCCTATATAAATGGTATATATACTAAATATATACTAAAATTTAAACAAAGTTTGTGTTGGTTGGGATGGTAAGGTCATTAGTTTCCCACCTAATATAGTGAAAGGTTAGCAGTTCAAACCTTGTTGTTGGCATTTTTTTTATTTTTAATAATTCTAATATTTGGCATTTTTTATTTTTAATAATTCTAATATTGCCTTTTTGTAATTGTGTTTAGTTGCCATTTGTTTTTCACTGCATTCCAGTTTGTTCCTATTTGTTTTTCTTTCTTTTTTTTTCGATCTACTAATATTAACAATATTCTAATATTGTCCTTTCTAACTGTGTTTAGTTGCCATTTGTTTTTCACTTCTTATGCATTCTATTTAGTTTCCATTTGTACTGATGTAGTTGTTTAATGGTTATGTTAATTACTAAGGACGAATACATTTGCTGAAAATTCGTTAATGTTAGTTGGTATAGTTGTTTATTTGGAATAATTAGTTAATGTTAGTTAGCATATAGTTGTTTAATAATTTTATTTGTATTTGATATTTTGTATTTTGTAGTTGAACATTTTGTAATTTATTTTACCTTTGCTTTTTCGCCCCCACTCAACATAAATCCTGGCTCCGCCACTGAGTGAGTTAGTGAGTTGACCCGTTTAGCCCACCAACTCACTAACATACAATGATAGTTTCATTTCTTAACTCTTATTTAAAATGAGTCGGTCATATTCGAACTGTTTTGTGCTAGTCCATAATAAACTGATCATTTTGACAGCTCTATTTGGAATATTCTAACCGAGTTGAAAAACGAAATTCACATGTAAACTAATTGATACTCCATATTAGAGCACCCCCAATAGTTGTAGTGTTTGAGGAGTTTTTGCAGGTGTGACTGGGAAAGAGAAGATAGGATGGAATAGGAAAAGGGAGAGGGGGGGAGAGAGAGAAAAGCGTCATTATTGTGCCCGGGGCTGTGTTGCGCTTAACGCGAAATGGGCGCGACAACTTGTTTTCCTTAATAGGTCCCACACATATGATAAAAATCAATGCTTTGAAGGTTGATTTTTTTCTCTCTCTCCTTCACATAAACTTTGTTTTCTCAAAAATTACACCAAAATACAATAATGGGGATGCCCTTAGTTAATTTATTGGGCTCCCTAGTCCGTACTATCATAAATATCTGCACCAAAAAGTATACCTAATGATATTGACATTACAATTTATAATTTTTTTAAAAAAAATTTATAATTTATTACTATTGACTAAATCATCTTAAAACCAAAGAAGGAAAGTGTTAAAAAGAAGGATGAACATACACCAAAGAGGGAAAGTTTTAAACAATAATGAATATATCACTGCATGAATGCTAATTAGTAGCTTAGGAATTCATACTCCGATCTACACAACAGGTGATGAGGAAAGTCAATTCGAATTGAAGAAGCAAATTGAATGTGAAACCATAGGCCATAGCTCTTTTCCTAAAAAAAAAAAAAAAAAACAAAAAAAAAAAAAAAAACAAAAAACAAAAAATGATAGCTCTAAAGTAGAGTTTACTCAGTGCACACCCTCAAATAGTATTTGTCGAGTTCCAGTTATCCAAATAAAATAAAATAATTTAAAAATTATTTTATACAATGAAAATTTTGTAAAACTATTTTCAAAAACAAAATTAAAATAATAATTATTCTTCCATTTGCAGATCTGATCTATTCCTCTTTATTCATCAAATAATTACTGTATTATTTTAGGTTTAGTTTTTAGCATACATTCTGTTTTTGGCTTCTACTCTATACTGAGAAGATGGTTTAAAACAAAAACAAAAGAAAAAGGAAGAAAAAACTTCATAGCTAGAGCAAAAATAAAATAAAATAAAATATGTTTGACTTTCATCATTTTGTTAATAATTTATGTATACAACTATCAATTGTGCCTAATTAATTAAATACAAGCACAATCTACAAACCCTTTACCCACACATCAATTATTTGGTTATGGTGACTTGAAATCTCTCTAATGAAATTGGTACTTAACTGGTATTGTTATAACCTGCCATCATTCCCTAAAGATTTTGTAGCACCATAAAGCTAAACACCTTAAACACAACACCCTAAACCTCTACCACCAAACCTAATAACCCAAACAATAGGTTCCACAAATATTTATAATCATTGGAGGGTAGATCGGCATTGGAGATAGATAACAAGTGAATTAAAAATTAATTTTCAAAGTGTATCAATAAAGTAAGATAAACGAAGGTTTGGAAGGCTTTTAAGTTTCAAGTAGCATTTATCTCACATTGAAAAAGTATGTGAGTTTGTACTCTTGTACTAGTATAAACACATTTCAACTTTTTAAAAAGTTTCAAATTTGTACTTAAGAGACTCTCCCTTTCTATTGGGTACTACTTAATTACCTTGCTATTGGAAAATTTAGGACTTAATATCCCTGCAATACTCCCTCACTTTCAAAAGTATATCTTACTTCCACATCATCAAATTTGCAATTCTTTCACTAATTTTTATACATCCCTACAATATTCTCTCACTTTCAAAAGTAGTTCCACTTTCACATCACATTATAATGTAAACAAAATCCACACAAGCATCCATATATATCATCTTGAAAGTGTAGGGATAAATTCAGCCTAATAGCTTATCCCATCTTCCAAATCCAAGTTGCTGAAATGAACGTTGAACAAGAACAAGTGAGACCCATGAGAACCATATATTCTTATGAAAATAAAGTTACATTTTATAAAGGGGGATTGAAGTCACCTCACACAACTGAAGCGGAAACTCACAATGCGCTTCAATTTCTTATTGTAAAAGAGGAAGTGGTATGACCATCTGTATGTATGGTAAGGAAGCTGTAAGAATATGCTAATTATTATAGCTAATGTTTTACTTTTTCTGAGATTTTTATGTTTTCCAAGGATTTCAAATTGAATTTGAAGATAACAAAAAGGTTGAACTAATCCTAATAGATTGACTGTAGAGTGTAGGAGAGTTGGAGATTGGCATCCTATCCTAGATGCATATGTGAATTTCAAGCCCGCACGGGCTTAGCTCACTAGTTCAGTATACAGTATTTGGGGAAAGAGACCAAGATTCAAAACTCGGCAGCGGCAATGTGAGGAATATACCCAAAGTGGGCAGATCCCTTGAGCGCACCGACATTTAGCCATGTCTGCTAAGCCATTGAGTTACCGTGATTTACATACTCTCAAATGCTCTATTGGGCCGGGGTTGGGGGGCCCTTGGAGTTGGGGATTCAACCTTTTTGGGTAAAGATGTGAATTTCAAGCATTACTCAAGGGATCATACTTTCACCATCTGACATGGCAATATAGGTAGAATCCTTTTGTAATGCAGGGTTGAGTCGACCAATGTATGGTAACCATTGAATAAAAAGAGTTTTATTGTCACGTCAGATGGTGAAAACTTTTGGTTCCTATAGGCGGGGGTGGGTGGGTGGGTGACAAGTGAATTGGCTCCGGTGAGAAAGTGTGATTGCTTAAAAATTAAAAATCTTACATGGTGCCTCTTTCCTCACATGGATCTGCATCAGAATCTGGATTGTAACCATAGATTTCACATTCTCGGACTTTCACAACCTGCATCAATGATATGTTATTAACTTGCCATCATGGCCCTCTGTTTATTGTTTCATCTTTGCTAATATAAGCACACCTCATCCAAAGCCTTGTACAACGTTGCCAGCAGAGAACTGCTCTCATTTGTCTCAAGCCATTCCTGCGACCAAATTTTAAGATAATAGACAATATTGAACTTCCAAAAGTAGAATAAATGAATCCACTTGTACATTGCCAGAATCTTGATGTACCACCAAAATAATCAACTTTAAATTGAGGGTAGGTAATGGAAACCTGGATAATATAAATTAGTTCAATTAGAAATGTTACTACCTTTGATGCCTCGAACATGTAGATGTCAAAAACTTGCTTAAAACTATCCCAGCTTTCCTCAGAAAATAACTGGTGAGCATTCGCTGCACTGCTGATCCGTAACATTGAAAATTCATTGCAACACACAAATACAATCCGCAGACATGCATAAGTTGGAATGATTAAGGGAAAGAGTCGAGGCAACTGAATTTAGTTTTGGGAAATGGAGAGACTTGAACTCTCAGCTCTTCTACGAGCAACAGTTCTCTAAACTGTCTGTCAAACCATCTGACAACACTCCCAAGGCTTTAAGAGAGGATTATATATCGGGATGCCAAATCGCCAAGAAAAGCTGAGTAGGGCATTACCCATAATCCTCCTTGTCAGCTCAAGTCAAGTGAAATGATTTTCTATTTTTCTTGCAAGTTGCAACAGAAGATACAGTATTACCTGATGTTGTAGTCTGGATAGATTTGATGGAGCGTAAGAAGCAAATATATCAATGTCTTTTGGCTGTAATATGATGCAAATAGTATAGTATGGAACAATTACAAATTAACAGTGTACAGTTAACTGGCAAGTAAATTAGTTTGTATACACCACCTGGATCTACAATATAGATATTCAATTGGTGATGAAGAGTTGATGTCTAAAGAATTTTCAAGATAATCAAGAATCTGCAATAAATTATAGAGTGCCGAATGTAAATCCTAATAAAAATCATCACAAAAATCATTACAGTATAACTTGATTCCAGTAAAATAGACACACGGAAATACAGCTAATAGAGATATGGCTGAAAAGCATTAAGAACAAGGTTCCTAAAGTTACTTGTTTTGCATTTTTCATTTTTGGACTTAGTATAGGAGAAACCATTTTGTCTCCTAAAATTTTCTGCTATCCCATCTGAGGGGAAAAGAACAGAAAGGAGAAATCTAAAAGACACCTGACATAATGTATTCTACATGAATACTAATGCTAAGTAGAACAATCCCAAGTAAGGTCAGATCGTCAGAATACCCAAGAAAGTAAACTAAGGCCTGTTTGGGGACTAGCTGTTAGTATTAGGCCATCAGTTTTTAGTTGATTGGCTGGTTTAACAAGCTATTTGTACAAAGATGTTTGCCAAAATAGCAGTTAGTTTAGTTATTAAGTTATTACCAGTTTGAATTTGTAACACAACATACAAGGAAATGAATATATTTTAAATTGATCTTCAACAAATTTAAATCACCTCATTCTCCAAACTGAGAGACAGCTTCTTATCAGTTCCCGTATGCTTGCCTTGAAAGCAGAAAGCAAAAACAATTTTACACCCTAAGATGGTCCAGAATCCAGATGCAAACACATTATATACTCACAAACGGATAATCACACTTACAAGAGTAAGCTTCAAGGCAACCTTTGACAGTACGTTCTCCCAGATTTATGTGACTCAAGAAGTCACTTATACTGAAATCATACACATTAACATGATTACTATTCTGATTTCTGAGTTGGTTTTTAAAAAATAATAGAGATACAGAAAACTAATATATCTCTGGTCAAAAGGCTAGTAGGAACAGCAAGTTAGACATATCATAATTTTCTCAATTATAAAAGAGTTCAGAACATACCGATCAAGAGGAGTGTATTCCAGGTACTTCATGATAGCAGTATCAGACAACCAAACAGCTCTCTGCTGTGATGACTGATGACAATCCAAAGTTTACATTGAGAAAAAGATCTCAATAAAGATTATAATTGTCATAAGTTTGAAATGATTTTCCATCATACCATATTGCCATTCTAAATTCTCCAAATGCAATTATCACCTATGGCTAGAATTAACATTTTTCTTACTAATATCATGATTTAGCAAAACTACTAGATGCCACTTATTGCAAAAATAAGTCAGATATTTTTACTGAATCTCAATGAATGAATAACATACACATTGAATTTTCACTTTAATGTCCTTATAATTTGTTTTGTGCGCATTTGTTATTAGATAGTAAGAAAGTTATGTGGTGAATCTTGAAAATTCAAATGGCAATTCAGCCTCCAAAGATCCATAACACGTGATTCAGACATTATTAGACAGATATAAAGTTACACCAGCATATATTACTCACCACACATAAGTACCAGACTACCAGTTCATAAATTTGCTGAAAAGAACACCCATCCAATTTTAAGTTGTAATGGTTATTCAATAGCGTAACACACACACCACTAACTAAATCCATCATAATATAAAGAGAGGTATAAGAAAGAGTAGCAAAATACTGCTATAAGTATTCTAACTCCTATGAGGCATTGTTAGGTTTTTGAATAAAATCCCATGTGTCTGTTTCAAGGACCTCGTCCCCCCCCCCCCCCCTCCCCTCCCCCCCCCTCTCCCCAAGTCCCCAACCCTTGCCTCAGCTATTCTAACTACATTTTCTGCAAACCTTCTCCCCTAACTGATCAAAATTTTGACTAATAAACTGCAGCACTGTAATAAACTCCCCAAGTGATCTTCCTAAGTTTTATTAATTCTAAACACGAACCATATGATACAAACCACATCCGAAATTTAAAATCTCGACATTCAGATTACGCATCAAAGCTCGACATTTACAAAAATCAAACACGAAATATGCAAACTTGCACAAGAAATAGATTAAAGGAAAAAATAGAATGTTCAATTCAGAAAGCGCATACCTCTTTCCGATGATGCAAGAGAAAACTTGGCGAAGAGGGTAGAGAAACAGTGGAGGAAGAACCCTAATTTCGATTGTTTGGAAAATGGTTGGAAATTGGGGATTTTACTATTTTAGATTTTTAGGTCGTGAAGTTTGATTTCGTGGTTCGGATTTGCCCCAGTGTGAAAGAGAGAGAATTTTGTATTTAGTCCTTGATGTTTAAGTGCACTTCAATTTTTTTCTTTAAAAATTTTAAATTTCTAATCTACAACCTTTAGGATGTCAATCAGGTCAATTCATTTAGGGTGTGTTTGGAAATCCGGAAAATGATTTCTGAAAATTATTTTTTGGGTTTTTGGTGTTTGGCTGTGCAAGGAAAATGGAAGTCAAAGGAAAATGCCACATAGTCAATGGAAAATGAGGTCTCTTTTCCTGAAAATGACTTCCCCTTTTTTTTTTGAGAAGTCATTTTCCATTCTTTGTTCTCTCTTCTTGTGGTCAGAAAATTTCCGCGACTTCACCAACACCTATTGCGCATTGTTCTCTAATCTTCGAATTTGGTTCTCCGATTTGTGGCAGTACATTTTTCGACGACCAGCTCTACTACTCTCTGGTGTCCGACCGGGCACCAGAGAGCAGTGCTCTCTGGTTTCCAGCCGGAAATCAGAGCGAGATTCTCTCTGGTTTCCGGCCGAAATCAGAGAACACGATCGAAAACTCTTACTCTGGTTTCCGCCGTCTCTTTCTTCTTTTTTTTTTTTTAAAAAAAAAATTATAACTTTTTAATAGATAATAATACTATTTGATTCAAAAACATAAATATTTTTATATTTTAAACAAAATAATTAATTATATAAACTGTTTAATTATATAATTCTACCCCATTTTCCAGAAAATGAACCAAACACACAAAAGACAGTTTTCCGCTTTGCAACCAAACACGAGAAAGAAAAATATTTTCCAGAAGTCATTTTCCTGCTTTCCAAACGGACCCTTAATTTTGAACTAGTTCTATCAAATTGTTAGACTTATTTGTTTGAGCTAATTTATTTTTTTGGCGTGCGAAATGTTCACAAAAAAAAAAAAAAAAAAAAAAAAAAAATTCACTTACAAGTTGTAAGAGTATATCTTCTCTCCTCTCTCCTATTTTTTTCATCGCAATAAAAATTATTATTGTAGTTGCTCTAATAAGAGTTTGAGTAATTAGTATGTAAACTTCGAAAAATTAATTCTTATAAAGTGTGACCTCAATTAGTTCTCAAATTATTCATCTAATAGTTATTTTAGTCTATCATTTCAGGTATTAGTTAAAACATAATGGTGATGTAAGGACAAATTTCCTTTCAAAAAGAAAAAATGTAAAGACAAATTTAAAAATCCATTTATTCTTCTAAAACACAAGTCAAATAAGTATATACTCCATAATTGAATATGAAATATGCTAACGTAAGTATTTGCGCTATACAAAAATGACGAATTGGATTCTATTCCCTTCCGGCAAACTAAACCAACTGGACTCCATTCCCTTCCGGCAAACTAACTATGCTGTGAAACCATGTCTATCTTCACCTTGCAAGGTGGACAAGTTTTAAAACTGTTCATAATTTGAGTTCTATAATTATGAACATAAAATTCTGTAATTGTGAATAAGAAGTTCAAAAATTATGAACATGTGGCTTTGTAATTTCCAGCTTGGTGAAGATGAGATCAGATAATAGTAGTCTTCACTGCAAACCAAGCCTGCACATTTATGTGATCAGGAAAACTAAACTATGAAAGGAAACCAAAGATGTAAAAGTAGTACAACTAACTGGGGTTCACCCACCCATATGAATTTCAAGATGCCCCAAAAGGAAGAATATAATGCCATGCCTCCAATAAATACTCTAGTATAGAAAAGGCAGGCAGGCAGGGTCTTCCCTAGCTGGCTTTTTATAACCTAAATAAACACTAATGGACCTGAGATACCAAACATACTTCCAAAGAACATCTGAGCATTCAGTACAAAGAATTCCAGGAAACATGAAAGCAGTTTTCAAGGTAACCAATATAATCCTCTTTCTTCCATTCAAACATTTTGTATAAACACACTACTATATATTGCAAACTTTGTGTGGCTAAAGCTAGTTTTCCTTTATAATTTACCACATTACGTACATATGTATATGTATAATGTATAAGCCATCAAGAACAACTTAAATAAAGCCAGATAAGAAAGAATGAAACACATTTATCATCAATGTTTGAAAACTTCACATTCAGTAAGAAATGAGAAGCATACCCTTTAATTTGTTCCCAATAAATTAACACTAACACTGTACTGCTCATTACTATATTAAGCAAATACAACATACAAGTGAAAATTTTAAAGTTTTTCCAAGTTGCATTGGCAAAGTTGACGAGCGCAAGAAGAAGATAGATCAGAAGAAAACTTACTCAACAGCTCTTGTTCTTATGCATGCCTTAGTGGGTCCCACTACTCTCCCTTTTTCTCTTCATCTTCCTATCATCCATGTCTTGGTCTTCGTTGCCAGGAGATGCAGGAGGAGGAGGAGGAGGAGCAGAGCTGGAAAGAAATAATTATATAAACAATTAGGATATCAAAAGAATGAATTATAAGCTTTGAAGAATGAATGTGGGGTGTCGGGTGTACTTACGCTATACAGAAACCGCTATATACAAACTCCAAAGGGCGAGGGATGATGGCAGGGATGATCTCATCAGGTTTGAATATCATTGAGAAAATAATATCTGACGAACAAACTCCAACTCCACTTCCAGAGATTTGAATGTCGTATTCACGTGAAAAATCAATACTGAAGACATATATCAAATATTCTGAACTTGAACTACTGCGCATCACACAAAACCTTCCACCTCCAATATCAGATAATTGTTTCTCACAAAGGTATGGGTCATCAATATGATCATCAAGTTCAGTTTCACATTCAGCTAGAATCCTAGAAGATATAGGATCAATATCACCATTGTCAGACAGGCGAACACGATAGGCAGTGGGCTGAGCAGCATTAAGGGCGACTAGAATCCAAGTATTATCAGCAAATTCATTTGAAATTCCGATATCGCCACCAAAATGATAGGGAAAACGAATATTTTTCTCCACAAATCTGTCCACCATGGCATTGCAATCCTCCCATTTTGATTCCATTTCCATTGTGTTGAACTTAAATGCATAGATACCACGATGATATAGTGATTTAATACCCAGATATATATAACCTCTAATAAAAAAATAACAGCATAAAACGGGAATAGAAGATCTTAGACAATCAGGAGGGAGAGGTGGTGGGGGTGGCCCGGTTTCAAACAATTTCTGAATTGGATCAAAGTATTGCAAATGCATGGGCACGCTGGCTCGCTCGAATAGCTTATGAGTATATGTGAGCAAGTAAAACCCAGCCTTAGCTCGAATGACTAAAGGAAATGCCATTGGTGCAAATTTTGAGTCAGGAAGTTGTTCAATATTGTCTAGTGGAAAATCCTTAAACTCATCGAACTTTGTTGGATCAAATATATAAACAAGATTGCTATATTTATATTCAGCCACAGATGCATCGTGGCCCCCAACCATATATAAAATATGATTGTGGCTGAAGTGTACCATATCTGCTGGAAAAGTTTTAGGAAAATTAAAGCACACAAGTTTGGCTTCGGATTTGATGGAACTATTAATTGTTATAGGGATTTTAAGCCGAATAATTCCACTGTCGAACTTGAGATAAGCATATATGAATTCCGCCATCCTGGAAAAAGAAGATGCATAGTTATACAAAACTAATAATTATAAATACAAGAAAAAAAACAGATATTATTAGACACACACTGCTAGACATTATTAGACACATATAAAGTTACACCAGCATATATAACTCACCACACATAAGTACCAGACTACCAGTTCATAAATTTGCTGAAAAGAACACCCATCCAATTTTAAGTTGTAATGGTTATTCAATAGTTTAACACACACACCACTAACTAAATCCATCATAATAAAAAGAGAGATATAAGAAAGAGTAGCAAATTACTGCTATAAGTATTCTAACTCCTATGAGGCATTGTTAGGTTTTTGAATAAAATCCCATAAGTATTCTCCCCTAAGTGATCAAAATTTTGACTAATAAACTGCAGCACTGTAATGCCTCCATTTTCCAATTCACATTAATAAACTCCCCAAGTGATCTGCCTCAGTTTTATTAATTCTAAACGCGAACCATATGATACAAACCACATCCGAAATTTAAAATCTCGACAGTCAGATTACGCATCAAAGCTCTACATTTACAGAAATCAAACACGAAATATGCAAACTTGCACAAGAAATAGCATGCGACAAATTAAAGGAAAAAATAGAATGTTCAATTTAGAAAGCACATACCTCTTTCCGATGATGCGAGAGAAAACTTGGCGAAGAGGGTAGAGAAACAGTGGAGGAAGAACCCTAATTTCGATTGTTTGAAAAATGGTTGGAAATTGGGGATTTTACTATTTTAGATTTTTAGCCGTCGTGAAGTTTGATTTTGATTTGCCCCAGTGTGAAAGAGAGAGAATTTTGTATTTAGTCCTTGATGTTTAAGTGCACTTAAATATTTTTTCTTTAAAATTTTTAAAGTTGTAATTTACAACTTTTAGAGATGTCAATCTGGCCAATTCAGTTAATTTTGAACTAGTTCTATCAAAATGTTGGATTTATTTGTTTGAGCTAGTTTATTTGTTTGACGTGCGAAATGTTTACAAAAAATTTCACTTACAAGTTGTAAGAGTATATCTTCTCTTCTCTCTCTTATTTTTCTTTTTCATCGCAATAAAAATCACTATTGTAGTTGCTCTAATAACAGTTTGAGTAATTAGTATGTAAACTTCGAAAAATTAATTCTTATAAAGTGTGACCTCAATTAGTTCTCAAATTATTTGTGTAATAGTCATTTTAGGTATTAGTTAAAACATAATGTTGATGTAAGGACAAATTTAAAAATTCATTTATTCTTTTAAAACACAAGTCAAATAAATATATACTCCGTAATTGAATATGAAATATGCTAACGTAAGTATTTGCGCTATACAAAAATGACGAAGTGGTAATTATGTAAGACATTTTACCCTCATCAACCCAAATAGTATCAATAGACTCACATTCGCCTATTCCGTTCTTCATTTCTCAAATTATTTTACCTTTAATAATTTCAGCATATAATTTTTTGACTAATTTAATCATAGCTATCAACTTCATTTCAATCATCCAAAAATATCATTATTTATTTTATCATCCTTACTTTCTTATTCGGAACAACAATAAATAAATGTCATGAATCTTTCGTGTAGCGTATTGCTTATGAAACTTCTCCTTTACTGTTAAATATTGTATAATTTGTTCTTTCTCGTATTTAAAATCTTGAACTGGGTCTATTAATTCCCTTATTGTGTGGAGCTCAAGTATTTGAATTTTTGATGGTGGGATAAAAAACCACGGAATCAATGATAGAAGTCATTAAAAAATAACCAAAAATATAGAAATATATCAAGATCATGATTAGCCTCCAAATATATGGCATCGGACGAGTCTTCGACGATATGTGAAAATGACTAAAGTCAGCTTTATTTTTTGAATATCTTCGACAATATGTGAAAATGACTAAAGTTGGTTTTTTTTTTTCCACAATGCCTTATAAATCGCACTAATTTAAATCATAATATTTGAATATAATTTGGCAATTGTAATTGAAGTTGTAATATTTTTTGCAATTTTGGCAATTGTAATTGAAGTTGTAATCATTTCTTGCACATGACTCCACGGAGTATTTTTCTTTCTTTGCCTTCTCTGAAATTTAATAAAAATAAAAATTTTAAATTTGCTCTACCATCAACCTTAGGTTTTAATCATACTTGAGGGGAAAATGACTGCTACACAAATAATTCAGAAATTAAATAAGGTCATCCTTATAATTAAGTGACTGAATTCGAGCAAGAAGAAATTAATAAAGGGAAAAAATAAAAATAAAAAAGAGTTAGTTTAATTTACAAAGCGCATACCCTGAAGGTCGAAGAAGAAGAACCCTAATTTCAATTCTTTAGAGCGAATTTGCAGAAATCACAACACATAGATTTCATTGGGAAGGAAGGGATCTGAATCTGAACATATGATATACGCACACAAAATTGAAAATTGAAAATTGAATGAAACTAGAGAGCAAAACCTTTGAGATATTCCGGGTCACGTTTGGCCCGTTCCTGGAATTTCTTGAACCAGCGGTCTAAAATGTCCATGGGCACAATCAGCTTGCTCCCGTCCACTCCGCAAAACGACTGCATGAAATTGAACAAATTCTCCCCCACTTTCATCGCTAGCCTCTCGATCTTCTTCTCCGCGGCCACGTCCAGGGACGGCAGCGTCGCCAGCTCCTCAACGGACACGCCGATCTTCGCGGACAGCGGAGTGGCGTCGGCGGTGAGCTGGAGCTCGCCGCCGGGCTCCGGCCACGGCAGGGAGAGCACGGCGGAGGGGCGGCTTAGCGTGACGGCGCCGCAGAAGAGGAACGGCGATCCCGGCGATTGGATGTAAACGGCCAGGGCCTTGTCCGGCGGGAGCGTGAAGTTGTTGAGAAGGAAGATGCACACTTCCCGGATTGAATCGTACGCCTCGCCGACGAAGGTGTTCATATCGAGGAGCCAATGTGTGGTGTCGATTTGAGTGAAGGAAGAGATGTCCATTGGGAAGCTCCGGTTCGGGAAAACTACTCCGAACATTTCTTATTCTTCGATTCTCCTCCCAAATTTTCAGCCGGAGAAAAAACTGCTTCCGGTGGGTGAGAAAGATGAGTGATGAAGGTGGTGGACTTGTGTTTGAAATTGGGGATTTTATTAGGTCTTCATAAGTTTGAGATTTAGGGGCTTGGTTTTAAATATATTACGGTATTACCGTCTCTACCCTAACAGGCTAAACACTAATAATGTTACTTTTCTTTTTTTGGTCTCTATTCTTGTCAGTACAAGAAATCGGATTGTTCTAGAACTTTGGAGACAATTCATAATATTGTCATTCAAACATCAAATGATTTGTATAGTTATCAAGTTATCCAATATAATAACCTGAAGAATAATGGCGGGAAATTAGGAGAAACTTCCAAAATGTTGTAAATTACTTTGATTTATGTGCCTGATTGTGATCGCAAAGTACGAGTTTAAAGACAATTTTAGTAAACCAAACTAAGTGTATTTAAAAATCCAAAAATGACTTCTAAAAAATATTTTTGAATTTTCAGTATTTGGATGCAATAAGAAAATCCAATCAACGAAAAACATTTTTCGTTGATTGGGAAAAATGAAGTCATTTTGGCTGAAAATGACTTCAGCTAAAATTTGAGGAAGTCATTTATCGTCAAAATGTTTAAACATACAATTCTACTCATTTTTTCAGAAAATAAACTAAACACACCAAGTTTTCCAAAATACAACCAAACATGGGAAAAGAAAATATTTTTTAAAATATGACTCATTTTTCAGAAATCATTTTCCTGCTTTCCAAACGGACCCTAAATAGGAGAATAAAGTTAAAATTCAAGTATAACATTAGAAAATTGAAAAGACTCGAGAGTTGAACCTAAGTAAGACAAAGGGATTCAATCACAAAACATAAAGGGGTGTTTCGTAAATAACTGTTAACAATTTGTTTTTTATGCAAAAGATGATATTGTAACATTTGTGGGGAGAGAGAGAGAGAGAGAGAGGAGATGTGTGTGAAGTATATTTATCCTCTAGTTTCATCCAAAAGTATACATATCACAAGTAAATCTATACACACTCCATTTTGGTGAAAGTCAAATGAAAAAGGGATTATAACAATGTTGTTAACAGCAAGTGATTGTTACAACTTACAATCTTCTGCACTCTGTTTCCTATTCTGAGCCTCACCTCACCTTGTTTCTGAATCATATTTTACACCCAGCATAGACACCGCTATTCAGCTCCAGCTTCTCTTAGGCCTGAAATTTTTGCATAAGAGAAACACATATAAGCAATGCCAACCTCCCACACAAATACAACCTTGTATTTCTTCTCTCCATGGGTCATTTTAATTTTTTTTTGGGCCTTTCTCAACTTATTTCCAAATTCCAATATTAGATCGATTTGAAAAATCTCATCATCATCATCATCATCACTCTCTTAATAATCAATCATTCATGTACTTTTTAAAGAGTGTAGGTATTTATACTTTCGGTTCTTTTGCCGTGAACGCCAGAACCAGGCGAGCGCTCCGAATGCACAGCTTGCCACAGCAATGGCAAATGCAGCTCCAACTGGAACAACAACTGCACTCGTTGAAGCTACCAATTCATCAACACTCGATTTTTCACTGCCGCTTCCAACTTCCTTGTCCTTGTAAAGAGTAACCAGCGTCTTCCCGTAGTAACTGACCAAGAACTTGAAGACCTCATCGTCATCCCAATCAATCTCACTACTATCATTGCCCTTTTTGCTCTGGCGATAGCAAGATTCACAAAGCTGTTTGGGAGGCCAAATAACTTTCAGAAATTTAGGATCAGCTGTTTTTAACAAAGCTTCTGCTTTCATCAGTCTCTCATTCACTTTGTTGTGTGCGCTCCACAACCACAAGGTAAAATCACGAGCATTCTTGAATGGGGTAGAAACGCTGTAGGTTTGGAACATTTAATATACATATTCAGATGATTGAACATTTATAAATAGTAAAATGAGGGTAAAATAAGGACCAAAGATTGAATACTCTAAACCGATAGCATCGTACCTTGAGCACATCTCATAGAAATGCTCCCTACACTCCTGACATACAAAAAAGTTGTGTATGAAATCACATGTAGTTTTAAAAGCCATTTCGCTTTCTGCATCTTCCACTCTTACAGAAAGGGAGTGCAACAAAACCCACAAACCACAACTGCACAGTAAACAAAAATCCTTGATTAGGAGGAAAGTACTGAAATCGAAATACATTATCACGTGAGCAATTTCCTGACAACTAAATCAAAAAATCTATCAGTTATCACTCTGTGAGCATTATTATCATCTTCAAAACCAATTATGATCTACTTCATTTGAACTTTCATCCCCAGTCCAGCTATCTAGTATCTACACCCCAAAATCCATAGATTTAGTGGTCCATCAGGTATTTTAAGGTACATAGTTACAAGAAAATCAAAAACTTTGTGCACCCTCTAATCCACAGAAATATTGACAGATTATAAATGCTGTGAAGATTACAGGAGGCTGTGAAAAGTGCAGAAACAAAAATACTAATACTCAGTAGATAACTGATTAGCAAAAAAATCTGAAGATGGGGGAAAAGATGAAGGCTTCACTGCACACACATACACACACACACACACACACACACACACAAAGTTGGGGAGGGGGGGAGAGGGAAAAGGAAACATTGCCCACTTGAAAGCAGGATTGCGGTTGATTGATAAGAATATAAGATGAGAGAGGGAGATCACATTACAAAAATGAAGAGAGCATTTAATGTTTTATGTGTAATTCTTGCAAAAATGGACTGTGCTCATAAGATTTTTTTCTTTAGATAGAAACTGAGGAAATAATGCAATTAAACTACATGACAAGTTGACAACTACAAATACAACTTTAATGAGCATGAACTATGACGGTACATATCAAGAACAGAGTGCATGACTGTTCTGTTACCTGAAACCTCTGGTTTCATTTGTACTTCCACGACAAAACATCTGCAAAAAATGAAGAAAAAGTGGTTATAGATTATTAAAACCAAAAACAGCTTAATCAAATGTATGATAGCATGAACATAGAAGACAACCTAGAAATAAGAAATTTAAAAATGTGTCTCAACGAAGTAAAGATTTAGTTGGATGTTCATGAAAAACCAGCAAAGTTTAAAATGTGTTTCAACAAAGATTAGTTGGATGTTCATGCAAAACCAGCAAAGGTACAAACTGCCAAGCTGGTTTCCCTTCACATTCTAATGAAGGATGGGGATTATATGGTGAGTTTACTAAAGACATCTTTTGAGAAAAATCTGGACTAACTCCACTTCCCCACCCTGCTTACCCCCCCTCTCTCCCCATCTCCACAACACCCAACAAAAACTCCTTGAGTCAGAGATGGAAAACACATAAATGTTGGATTTTTTTTTTGTATCTTCGTGTTCTCAATGCCTCTTAAACAAGCCTTCCACTTAGAGATCCAAACAACCTGTCAAGTTAGCTTCTATATCCATTTTCTTTTTCTTTCTTTTCTCTGCATGCAAATTATCTTTTTGTCATATGAGCACTTAGAAACACTACATTTCTGTAAGATCCTAAGTTACTCCGTAATATCTCTTTGCCTATACAATAACACATGTTTAATATAAGTGTTTAGCCAAAAATTGAGAAAAAAAAATGTGGATTACATTGAATATCAAAAAAGAATCTGAGTTTCGAATAAAGAGCACCATTTAGCACCCTCTCACTAGTGACCTGAAATTGATTGAAAGTAATAATTAAAATATATATTACTTCCAACCAATAATGTATGCAAACCAGGAGCTATTAATATGAGACTGAAATGAAAATAAAACTAAAATAAAAATTTTTTAAAAAATAGATGTGGGTCCAATAGCTAGGCATGCATGTCTTATCTTCCTGTGGAACAAATGCTGAGATGCATGGCAATTGAAAATAGTGCAGTCCATGGATGAACATAGCAAAGACCCGCACCAAACAATTGCTCATGCAATACACGAGCAAGAAATCAACCACCATTAAATACTCAATATTAAACAACTATATACCTACCCAATATCCACGAGGAACCTCTTTGCCACAGATCTGATAATTTCCCAGAATGCCCTTTTTAGTACAACTCGCAACTTCTTCTTTGTTTGCTGACAAAGCACCAGATGGGCATAGATCATCAAAGTTTACGAGTATATCTGCACTACCTCTCCGGCATCTATTATCAAGAATCATATTGTGAAGGTGAAAACAACATATATACAAATATATGAAGTAAAAAAAGAGAAACTGGAAAAATTGCAGGATGCAAACCTTCTAGAAGGGTGATGAGCCACCAAAAGTTGAAGGAATTTTATAAGTGATGCCCTTGTATCTGATTTGATCATCTGCATTCATAGGGGAAGCCATCAAGAGAGGCAAAAAATCACATTGGGAAAGCATAAGGCTAATTGGAAATACTGGAACCCCAGCATTTTACCTTGTGCTGTAATATGATATCAAAGGCAGTAGAAGTTGCCTCCTCAACGTCATATACAGCTCTGGCTATCTTTCACAAGCAATATGAAACATGCGTAAGAAAATTACATACTAAAGACAAAGCAAGAAATTCATTCTCGTGCTTTAATAGCAACCTGCCCAGGATCTGAAATATTTGTCTGAAGCTGCTCATTCTGGTACTTTTCATCTTCCAAGCCATATGAGCTAAAGATTAAAAAACATGAAAAGGAAATTATTATACTTCAAAACTTGAAATTGAGAAAAAATGTAGAGGGAAAACAAAACAAAACTACTCTGTACGAATTTTAAACTTGCCAATAGGCACATGGTAGTGGAAAGAGGGGAAGGGTGGTTGAGCACATACCCTGAAAGAACTTTTTTTAAAACACAGCATGCAGATATATACATGGGAAAGACGGTGGCAATATTAAGTTATTAACTGCAACCAATACATTGCTATAATATTTTTTATATAAATAGGGAATCATCCCAAAAGTAGCAAGAGCGTAAATTGATATAACAAGATGCCCTAGAAGTACGACAGATACCACGCATGACTTGTGGTAGGCCACATCACAATTTCCACTGAAGTTTTCAATATAACAAAGTTTTTACTTTAGAAACAAACAGTTCACTAGAAGCATGATACCCATTTTATACCTGCCCAATTTCTTATTAATCCATTCTAACAAGAGACTTGATGTTCGTCCATTCTCAATAGGAAGTATATCACTTTTTTCTTGCTTTGGCTTCCAACTACCACCAACAAACTTAGAAGGAGGACCCCAGAAAAGCATAGGGTAATGCCCCACAGAGAACTTATCACAAAGATTAGAATTTATCTGTGCTGCCAAGAAAGTGAAATAAAATGAATAAACCAGTAAGCTATGGGACAGAAAAGTGCTCTCCAGATGTAATCAAACTGAATAAGATACAAGAGTAATCTCCAAAAACTAACTGAAGAAAGAAAAAAAAATTATTTAATGATATACCAAACAGGAACAGCATATAAGGACTTTTAAAAATAAGTAATGGTTTTTCACCAAAAAAGGCACCAAGGATATGCTTACAAGTATAATTTAAAAACTATACAGAAGGCTATTTTAGAAAAACAGTGCAAGGATATAGCAGAACCAGAGGCTTATTTGGGAAACATTTGTCAATTGAAAAGAATAGATCTCAGTTACTAACTTATTAACCACAAACATGCACAGGACATTTAAATTGCAGAACCAGAGGCTTATTTGGGAAACATTTGTCAATTGAAAAGAATAGATCTCAGTTACTAACTTATTAACCACAAACATGCACAGGACTGTGGGGAAGAGTAACAGTTACTAATTTTTTCTACTGCATTAACTATGATTATGGAATGTTAGAAGTTGGAAAATCTAATGATTTTTATACAGTACAAAATGAACTTCCACAATTTTCTATTTCCTTGTGAACATAGGAAAAACAAAACAAAAGGCTTTCATGACTAGTTTTTGTCATCAAGAGAATCAGTACAGTGTCAACCATCAGCTAAAATATGGAGGAAAGTTCATAACTTGTAATCAGCTAGCCATTTTAATTATATTTGCTTTTTTTTTAATCTGATTTTATCCTCCCCCAGCCCACCCCCCCTCCCCTGGCGTGGGTGTCTCTCCCTTCTTCTCAATCTTCTTTTCTTTTTTAGTGCTCAAAAACAGTCTAAGAAAATAGAGAAGATATAGAAGTAGTAAATAGTAATACCCCCAATGCGCAGTCTACCCTTGTCATCAATATGGTTCCTGGATGTATAGCATCTGCTCCATTAAAAAGTCTGGCAACCTTCTCATAATATGGCTGCAAAATTGTTGTTACAGAGATGAGAAACACTGCAATCAAAGAATCCATCAAAAGAAAGAATAAAGATACCTTATAATTTCTGCAAGCAGGGCACCTGCGAGAAAAATATAATATTTTAAGTAAGAATGACATGCAATAAAGTTATAAAATAAATTGAGTTGCTATTGGTGTAAACTAATGTTGTTACAAATCACAGTTTAAAGACAAACAAGAATGATAGAATTTAGAATTTAGAATTTGGAAAGGAGAGAGCTGGTATCTTTCTGAGGTAATCAAAGACCATAGAAGATGCTCAAATTTGATAACAGAAAAACAACATTTAAGCATAAAATTGTAACATGAAATCAATTCTAAACACAAAAATACTTATAGAGCCATAGAGCACTTGTATCAGTGTGAATAATAGAAGAGAATAGATTGTGGAGGAGAAGATGTTTAATGTAGATTCAATAGCCAAAAACAACTGGTGAATCTTATAACTCAATCCGTGTTCAACTTGAGATGATATAAATTTTATTTATGGCCTGCAGAGTTCTACAAAAGTGAAAGTAAATTGACGATTCAACATGTAAAACCAGTCTGTCGGGCAAAAGGTCAAAAGCTCTAATCCAATATGGGAATACCTATGTCTAGAACTAGACTAGAAGTGAATGCAAGTCACTATAACAAATCACCACTCAAATCTATTAATTTTCACTTGTGATCATGATATTTAGATAACGTGCAAAATTTTCAAAATTCTATAGATATGATTAGGCAAAAGGTACTTCAATAAAAGGCTTTTGTTGAAATTGAGGGATTGAAAAGCCTAGCGGGGTGGCAAATAGCAACCACCCACCAGTTAGGTGGAAGCAAAATATGTAAGTAAAGAAAGAGAGAATATATTATAATAATAGATGATAATAAATTGGTTGCTTGTGTCTACATACAGAGATCCTATATTTAAAGGAACGTTGGGCTAAGCCACTCCTACTAAGAATAGGACCATGGTTTCCTAACATTCAACACTCCCCTTCAAGTTGGAACATCTAGAAGTTACAAACTTGAATTAAAAAAATAAACAAACCACCTAACTCAAAATTAATAATTAAAAATAAAAAAAAAAAAAAACAAAAAAAAAAAACAACAACAACAACAGCAACTACAACTAAGTGCAGCTAGAGGTTAATAATGTTGGAAGGTATTCTATACATGATTGCCAATGGGTGTCTAAACTATGGAAGCCCCTTCCCCTTCTCCATTCGCGAGGTCATAAGTTATCTCTTGCTCTTATCTATAGATAAGAACTAATTGGATTGACTCAATTAATATGATAGATGGAATGGTTGTTTGTGCCTTTCGTTATCTTCTGCTCTCCTTGTAGGGAAAGGCCCTGGTCGGTGGTACTACTTTGGCTTATCAAACATGAAAGCTCATTTATAAATTGGGTCAAAGTCATAGGACATATATCCCATGATGCTTCATGTCCAGTCCGCAGCTTCCACACTGAGAATATCCTCCATGCTATATGCAATATCCCACGATACTAAATTGTCTGTATGGCTATATTGAATATTGGGCTAAGCCTACTCCTAGTAAGACTTGGAAACAAAGTCACTCCTACTAGAAATAGGACTAAGGTTTCCTAATATCGTTTTGCCCAATGCTAGAAAACTTTGAAAAACGAAAGAATTTTCAGCAATGCAAAGGGAGATAGCCAATCACATGTAGATTGACTCATTTCCTAAACAATTTCACTCTTTCTTTCATAAATAAATTATTTATATTTCATGAGATATTTACCACCATCACATCACATTCTTTAGCATTATTATTATTATTCCCAAGCAACTCTTTGAGAACTTCATTTCCATGACACTCGAAAAATTCGAACACTCTAGAGGATGTGGTGATTATAAACAACAAAATATGCTCAGATTAAAAACAATATCTCTCTAGATTGATTCATTTCCTGAGCAATATCAGCCTAGCTTTCATAAATACTCCATATAATTTAATGCTTGATTCTAAATATTGTCATGAGATATTTACCACCGTCACTTTATATTTCTCTCCTAGTATTATTCTCAAGCAACACTGTCAGAACTTCATTTACTATATACTCCACAATATGCTCAGATTGAAAATACATATAACATACAAACCAGAACCTCTCCGTCAATCTCATGAACTATCCATTCTCCAAAGCACAAGAACACGAAATTAAATAAGGGAGAAGGACAAAAGAGGCTGCAACTAACCAGTGAGCGAAGAACTCAACAATGGCGTAGGTGGCCGGAGTCTCACTGAGGACCGCATCGAAGTTGGTGGCGTTCAAATCCACGGCGTAGTCGCGACTCCCCGCGGCGCTCTCATCGCTGATCGCGCGGAGAATGGCGCGGTGAGATCCGGCGGAAACGAACACGGATGCTCCGAAGCTCGATAGGAACAGCAGCAACAGATATGGAATCGGAATTGAAGAAGTCATATGTATGCGTATCTGGTGAGGTGAGGTGGTGGTGGATTAGATTCGATTCCGATCTGTTCTTGGAGTTGAAAGTTGAAGAACCAAAAATGGCGACGACTCTGTTCTCCCTTCCGCCACGATTTTAGTCTTTAGTGTGCTTTCCTAAGACTTACCAGATACGACTCAAACGAAATAGTACGCGAAAGGAAAAAGGTAAAAATTGGTGAAGTCTAGTCTGAGGAGGATCTGGAGGTAAGAGATTAAAATTAATGAGATATTAAAAAAAAAAAAAATTAGAGTTCGAATCATAAATATTATTAAAAAATATTCAAAACAAAAGATAAAATAATTGAAAAAATATTTGACCCAAGACGCAGTCGCCCTTTCGGAGACGAAGTGGCAGGCAACGTCGGAGACGAAGTGGCAGGCAACGTCTCAGGCTCTCTCCCTGATCGTAGAGATGGCATGTGATGAAGGTGGATCTGTGTCAGGGTTGTCTCTATGGTTGGGGAGACGAAGAATTTTTTTTTAATTATTTTATTTAAAATTATTGGAAAATATTTTTAAATTCAATAACTGTCATGTATGTTTTCAAATAAACAGGCCATTTTAGGGATTGAATTGCATAAATTTACGTTGTTCAGAGATCCAATTACATTCTTTTCGAGTTCGATGACTCAATTGCAGTTTGGTGTGTAATTTGACCATTATTCCTAAGCTAATTGTATGGGGTAGATTATTGTACTAGTGTGCAATGCATGGCTAATGCATTTAACACTGCCATGTACTTGTGTCAATTAAATTTTATGATTGTTTTGGATTGCCATGTCAAATCAATTACCCCCAAAAATTGTATAGTTATTTATATTAAAAAAAAAAAAACGCAAATTATAATTTTTTACTGGTTTGATGTTAAGATTACACCTATTTTTAGTTTAATGTTACAGTTAAACATGTTTTTAATTTAGTGACTCAATTACACAAACCCAATAAATTTAATGGTCTATGTGATACTTCTTCTCTTGGCGTGCAAAGGGCGAAATCCCTCTTCCCTAATACCCCACACCCCAGCCATTGTGGAGGAATGATGCTTCTTACTTAGTCATATGAACTGATGTTTTCAACATTAGCAGTAAGTCAACAACATGCTCAATATGCATTTTCCATCGATCGACTATAAAACGTAGAAAGCTTTGTCAAATTGGCAAAGGCCTGAAACCCCACTAACATAAGATTAAAAATCCGATTTCTGGTGGAGTGTTGTGAAGGAGTTCTTTCATAACTCAAAGTTGAGAAACAAAAGATATTGCAAACTATGACAGAAAGTAGATTGGTAAGGAAAGTTTTTCTTACTATGCCTACTTGGTGAGCATAAACAGTAAATACCATTTCCAAGTTTCAACAGTTTTCAGACTATGCCCACCATCTGCGTGAGGTTTCTAAGCTGTGGTTTGAAACATGTTTTTTTTTTTTTTATTGCATCCTGTTATATTAGGATAGCTCATTAGCTCACATGAGACCACCTTTACTGCGCAATTTTCTCCTTTTGATTAGCACCTGTATAAATCAGTAGAGAGACGTAGCACATCCCGTATCAACATCATCGCCTGTACAAGCAATTTACAAACCGTCTAGGGTAAACAGATCAAGTGGGTCAGCGGGAGGTGATTCCCGCTGCTCGTTGGGTTTACCTTCGTCTAGGGGAGGAGATTCAAGTTGTTCCTGTTCCACTGGATCGCTCTCGAGAAGTGTAAGCTTTGGTTGTGTTTGGATTTGATCTAAGGGGGGCGGCTCAAGCTGCTGGTATTTCGGCTTGTTTTTCTCCAGAAGCAGGAAGGTGGTGCAGTACCAGAATAGTATTATTCTACTTTGAGCAGTTATGGTGTCCCTAATCCGACTGCCTCCAAAGGATAGCCGCTCAAGTTGCTGAAAAAGGGGAACGCATGAATTTTGACAAAAGAGCACATATTAAGCTTAAATTTAAATGATTCCCATACCATGTTTTACACGGGAAAGATTTTGGTTCCTACCATAATGTAAAAATAGACTATAGACTGCAAGAACCCTATGCAACTCAAATTTTATGTAAAATGTTAACTGCAGGTTTGGTTTATGGATTAAAAACAAAGAAAATAGGAATAGAATTTCAGAAAGAATGTAATAGGGGAAGAATAAAATAAGGGAAGGGGTCTTACAAAGAGGGAGGAGGGGTCTAGTGTTGAATTTGAGTTATTGATGGCTTACTTAGTGACCACTAAACCTAACCTTTGATGATCCTGATAAATTTTGCATGTGAAATTCAATATTTTCAAGATCTTGACACCTTTAAATGTCTATTCGAGGGATTTCGAGATTATAAATATCTTCACTTGAGTGAAGATATTCAAAATGGTTAATCTGTGCCCCTTGGTTTGCTTTCTAATCATGGTAGAAAATATATATATATATATATATATATATATATATATATATATATATATATATATATATATATATATATATATTATATAAACCTGCGGATATAGCAAATGGTTCCATTTAATCTCACTATAGGAACCTAACATGTACTCTGCAGAACGAAAAAGATATCAAGTATTTTTTCCCCATGGAATAAGGGTAAAGACCTAACAAACTAATGGGTTTTTCAGTCCATTTTTGTATAAAATATAAGATGGATTTTATTTTCAATCATTTCTCTGAAAATGCCACAAATTAAAATAGAGATTCCCGGGCTTCACTTACTTGTTCACCATATTGTATATCAAATGAATTTTGATGCTCTAACTGAAGGCCACTAAATTCATTGATGCAAAGCCCTTGAAATGCCCTGAAATTAAACAATGCAAAGTTGCTAAGTGGTGCAATCAGAGAGCCAAAGAACAGCCAAGTGTATAGAAATCAGTGTAATAATTATTCATGCAAATTTAGAACATATTTTACCATCTTATGAGAGAAACACGAGGAATCCAGCGAAAAATAACTGGGGTGTTGTCTGAATTAACGTAATAGCCCCCAAACACAATAAAAACAGTCATAAGAGAAGGCCCTAAGGCCATAGCTGCTTCTGTAGTTGGAACCATAGCACCCACTGTCAAACCCATTGCAGATGCAGCAAATGATTCCATAGTCACGATACCACAGAACTTGCCAAACCTGGAAATTGATGAAGCAAAATCTCAGAAATTTTGAGCCTTAACTATATGTCTAGTGTGTAATAACAGTCTCCCCAGCTATGAATGCTTTTGATGTATTCTGCTAAAGATCATGATTCAAGCAATCTTATCTTGGACAAAAGTAGAAAACCCAGGCTGATTAGCAGAGTATTTGTTATGCAGCTGACCTCATTTACAGTTTTACATTCAATCATAACTTGAAGCAAGAATCCTATAGACAAGCTTTCTAAATTCAGAGATAAATGTCACATATAGCCTTTCAAACTAACAAAGTGACAAAACTGTTAAAAGCAACAACTACCACTGGAAAGTAGGTTACAATCCTACTCATTAGGTCCATGTCACATATGTGGAATGCAGTCATCAATAAAATGTCCCAAGAAGCTGTGGATATTAAGAAACTATAAAACAAAATGGAAAAAAATTTCCTGAGCAAGTTCCGGTACTTGAACAGTTCAAAGCCATATCTCAGCTTACAGCATGGTAGGAGACTTGAACAGTACAAGGCCATATGATATCATGCATTTTTAATGTCTCACAAAGTAAATTGCTGGAAATCTTGAAAATAATGAGAATTGTCTTGTTAAGAGTCCCACATTGAAAAATAAGAGAGAAATACATGGGTTTATAAGGTCATGAGCTAGACTAGTTAATTGATTGGATCCAATTTTTTAGTGTGATTTGGCCCATGTGCATTACAACCCAGATGAGTGACCTCGGCCCAATCTTAGATTCTAACATGTCTAAACCCTAAACCCTCCATATATATTACTAGCTACATTGTGAATAGGCTTGATACATGGGTTTGACTAAGGCCCTTTATTTGTAAGAGAGATTGTCACTAACTGCTACTAAATACTCAATGTGGAACTAATTCTAACAATTTTAATGGCCAAAACCTAATCTTTTGACCATTAGGCAATGGGCTCAAGCCCTGAAAATAAAGGTAAAGTTGTGTACATCTTCCTTTTCCATTCAGCACCTTGCAGCCATGGTCTGACCTCAAATAAATTGTAGATGGAACAAATGTTAAATTTCCTTTTTGCTTTAGTGTTTAACCTTACAATGAATTTTAGAGATAAGTGTGGTATTGGGGCTCCTTACCTATCATATATTATTTACTCCGTACTTAATTAGAAATATCCATCACTCACTAAACAAACTAAGATTATACAAAGAGGAATAATATGTGAAGTCACTCGCCTGATACTATACCAGCAAAAGACAACTACTGCAACAATGAAAGCTCACCTAGAAATAGTAGGATGAAGTCGCGTCATGGGGTACATAATGCTACCAAAAAGTAAGGGGAATGCTGCACCAATTGGAACCTCGGCTATCAACTTTGAAAGTAGATATGGTCCTAACGCATAAGACCCTTTAGCACGCTCACGATCTACAATTGCACGTTCCTTGGGAAAGACGCCCACAGTTTTTGTGAGTGCAGCCATAGCAGTGTTTATGGCAACAACCTGTGGCAAAATGAACAAAAAGTATAAAATAAAAGAAAGGAATTAGACACTCAAAATTGTCAAAATGTCATCCCTGGACACTGGACAACTACTGCGACTCTTTCATGTGCAGGAGTAGTTTGTGACCAAAACATTACTGCTAATTATAAGATCGTGAGTGTAAATTGGTTGAGGTTTGACTATTAACTGAGAAGTAAAAGAAAGAAGGGCCATGTTCAAACTAAAGGACAGCATTTAAGGAAAGTTCAACATTTATTTTTTCAGTTCTGGTCAAATTCATTAGTGGAAATGCAAGCAATGTGTCTAAGATACAGTTCAACTTTTAGCTTCAGGCCAAAGAACCAACCACATAGCATGCACATCCATTTGTTCATGTATATAAGAGCAACCTTATCAGTGGTTATTTGTGGGGAGCATGTCAGATTAAATCTCCTTGCTCAAGTTCAAAGCTAATGAAGGGAAGATTTAGCCCGCATGGGTAGCTCAACTGGTCATAGAGGTGAAACTTTGGAAGAATGACCAAGGATCGAGTCTCACCAGAGGTAGTGTGGGAGCAACCTCTCAAAGTGAGGGGGGCTCCTT